GGTTGGGTATGGTGGTGCACACCTGTAATCCCGGCACTCAGACTGAGTCAGGAGAATCGTGAGTTCAAGACCAGCGTGAGCTGCATAGCAAGACCCTGTCTCAAAAAGACAAAAGTCTTACCCTTCATACCATTACGAGAAACAACACTTGCAGTGCAGTTTTGATATTTAACATGTCTAATTACATACTTAACCTGCTGAGCCTCAGATTAAGCCCTTACCATTGACATTCCAATCATGAAAAGCTGAGAGGCCTCTACCCTGCAACACCTTCCCAGTTCTTAGTACCATGACTTCATTACCTGCTAAGCTGCTTACATATAGTAACAATTGAACCTTGCCTTTCCTGCACTTGGGGTTTCCTTTGGGATAATGAGTGCTTTTCTGTGTTCATTAGTAATTCAACTGTGAACTTGGACTTGTCTAATCTCTGAAGGTGTATTATGTATTTACGGTTTTCCTAAGTCTCAGAATGATCTGATCTTCATCTTAACTTTCACGTCCTGCATGTCAGCTCCATCTTTTACTTCAACCTAATTAATAGCTTCTCCAAGAGCTTCCTGGCAATGTGTACTGTTGAGCTCCTACTTCTTTGAAAAATAGCCATTGCACCATTTTAGGTCAGCTGTACAAGTCTAGTGATAACTTTTTTTGCCATTTCCATTAATTTGGGTGTATTTGTTACAGATCCGTGGTTTATTGTGCCATACGCTTGGTGAACTACCCGTTTGGAAATGTTTGTTTTCTGTTCTAAAAGTATTACAATACTCCTATAATGCTTCCTTTCATTTCTACTTAGTTTTCAGGGGTTCTTGATCACCCTCTAAATACATGCTTTTTAGCCTCGTGGATGAGTTCTGAGGTTGCTGTGCTTTCTGTCCTCAGCTACAGCTGGAGTTGTTCAGAGCAGCTGCCTGCAATGTCCACTTTTGATCTCTGACCCTTCAGGTATCTGATCTTTGGTTTATGCTTTGGGTTGGGTGGAAATGGAGCACACTTGTCTTTTTTCCTCCTAGGGAGGGGCAGCAATCACATTTAATCTTGGTTGTGCCATAATACTGCAATTAAAGGTGTTTCTTGTTTTGTTTTGAATGTATTTAGTACAGGGTCTCACTACCCAGAACCAGAACAGATTCAGTGATCTTCCTGTTTTCAGCCTCCCAAGCGCTGGGATTGCAGGTGCACTACCACGCCCAGTCTCAGTCACTCAGTGTGCCCCAGGGGTGGGGCTGGTACCATGCTGGGGATTGAACCCTGGTCCCTGTGTCTGCCTAAGCAGGCTCTTTTTTTTTTTTAATCCACTGAGCTATCTGGGTGGTCCCTGAAGGTTCTTAAAATGGCCCTTTTCCAAAGCTCTAAGGAGGTATGCTGCCGCAATTAAGGGCTCAAACAAGGTTTCCTGAGGTCAAATTTCCCTATTTCGAAGGCCACAGCAGTGGAAGTGTCTGAGGAAAGTCATTCCCTTCCTCCAGTGCTGGTGCCAGTCCCCACTCTCCAACCACACTGAAGGGTTCGGTTTTGCCCAGCTTCCCACCAGATCCTTTTGGTGGGTCTCCTCATCACTTCTCAGTGGGAACCTGTGGTAAACTCAGTAGCTCTGGTTTTGCATCCCGCACAGAATTCAATCTCAAGCCATCTTTTTGATAGGAATCTTTAAGTCACCTTATTAGGCTCCTGGTGCCTAATTCTGATGCTTATGCTGAAACCACACAATAAAGGAACCTCCTGAAACATTACTGTGCAGATACTCTTGCTGTATAAATGCTTTATTTTTTTTTAACTCCCTCTGATCCCAGGGGCAGAATTAGTATTCAATTCTTGTGGTTTGAAACACCTAGACACTAACCAGAGGGCCAGAGGTGCAAGGTGTGGTCTCCTTTACCTTCTAAGCTGACTCTTCATCAGCAGCTGACACTCAGGGCCACCCAGGAGGAAGGAGCCCCATGTGAAAGATTACACACCTGCCATCCAAGTTGAGACTCAGCTAAGCTGTAGGAGGACAAGACCCTGACGGGAAGCTACAGGTCAGGTTAGGGTCTTCAGACACTGTTGTGATCTCTTTTGGAGGCAGCGGGCAGCTCTCAGGACATGGAGGTGGTCTTGCCTCCATGCTTGCAGTGCAGAAATCCCATTACCCTGGCACTCACCCAGGTTCCTGATCCTGCTAATACTGTGTTCATAAGTAGCTCCCATAAATTGCAGTCATTCCAAAGCTGACTGAATTTAAAGCCAATCAGATTTCTGTCCACAGACATCCAGATACTAGCCTCATGGATGTCACTTGCAGTCCAAGAAAAAAATGTGTGTCCATTGTTGTGGGGTACTTTCCAGCAGGCCTGGTCATGCTACATCCACACTAGGGACCCCCGGCCCTGGACAAGTGAGACAGGCTGGTCTATCGGCGACCATGGTATCCAGGGCTCTCATTAGGATGTCTGGCATGTGGTCAGTCAGCATCTTGGGACCTATGAGTATTCTGCTGAATTCCGCTTCATGTGCCCACCTCGCCCTGTACTGAGCAGCAGAACAGCAGCCAAACCTTCAATAGAAAAGGAAACAGCACCTAGCAAAGCTTCACAGAAGCCCAGCTTTTCCCTGGTGGCGAGCAGATGCCCCAGAGCCCGTCCACCCTTGCACTCACCTCCCAGAAGCTCCCTCTTCCTCCAGGTAGATGATCCTGCCAGGGGGGTACAGAGGCGGGTACTTGGTGGGAGAGTCTAGTGGGGAGTCACTGGAGAAACTATATGCTGGGGACCAGTGTGTCAGCAGACTCTGCTCCCCTAGAAGAGGCTGTGTCAGGTCTCTTTGGTTGCCTCCATCCAGTTCAGTGGGGAAGTTATCGGGGCTCCCTCCAAACAGTTCATACCAGCAGCCTTGCAGCAGGATCTTATACTGAGGGTGAGACCAAGACAACAGGGCTGTGCTAGGTGGCAGCAATCCTCAGGAGTTAGGTTGTCATCCCACCCCAAAAAGTGGATCACAATTGAGAGGTGCCTCTTGGGGACAAGGCCATTATGCTTGCAGCCATATTTTAAACCAAATATGCATAGTTTGATGAAAAATTACCCTTCCTTATTGTGTGTTGTGTTAGAGATGGAGCCCAAGGCCTTGGCACATGCTAGGCAAACATTGCCACTGAGTGACATTTCCCGCCCAAATTACTCTTTTAATTTTTATTTATCTTTTTTTTTTTTTTTTTTTGCGGTACTGGTGCTCAAACTTGGGACCTTGCACCTAACACCACTGAGCTATCTCCCTCGCCCACTATTACTTCTTTTTAAGCAATTTTACCAAGTAATTTTATTTGCCATTAAGGATATTAGAAACTACTGCTCTTTTTTCTTTTGGCGGGGGGAAGAGGTTTGAGAGAATCAAACAAGCACATGCTCCCCCTCTGAGCTACATCCTTACCCATTACTACAATTTTTTTTTTTTTTTTTTTTTTTTTTTGGAACTGGGGATTGAACTCAGGCCCCTGTGCTTGCCAGTCAAGTGCTTATTCTACTGGGCTATCTCCCTGGCCCCCAATACTACTTTCTATGGAGTTCTGGAAGATAACTGATGAAGAGAACAGTTTCATTTTTTTGCTTGATTAGCAACAAAAACAATCAGTTCAGGTAACAGATTAAAGAAGTGAAAAGCATCAGTATTCCTACTATCCAAATAAAACCATATTCTGATACATTTTTTTCAAAAGCCTGTCAAAATTCACTGTACATCCATACATATCTAGCTCTTGTCTCTCCCTCCTGCCTGGGTTTGTATTTTTAAGAACCATTTTTAAAGCCTACTTGCTTACTTTTTTTGTCATATCAAGGATCAAATAGGGTCTCACACATGCAAACAAATACTCTACCATGGAATTACATCTCCTCTTACCTTCTTAAATTGGTCTTAAGACTTCCGAGACAGGGTCTTGCTATGAGGCCCAGGGACAGAACTAAGTGCTGTGCATGTGAAGCAAGCGCTCTGAGCTATGCTCCAGGCCTCTAACCACCATTAACAACCCTTCAGTGTGGTGTGAATGCACTAGGCCCCTTCAGTTCTATGTTTGGCATCCCAATTTCCTAAGCCTGGGGACAGTATGACCAAAGGCATCAGAATACTGTGAGTCACAAGTCAGGACCATGAAGTCTCACAGGCAGGCCATGCCTGTTGCGCTGTCCTGACACTGGACGAACTTCCAGCAGCAGCACATCTGTGGTAGGACGGGAGGCTGAGTTCTCAGAGCTCAACATCTAGTCCTGCAGATGCCTTGAACACGGGTACTGAGATTACCTTGGGCTTACTGCAGTGAGCGATCACTCGCAAGATTCTTTTCTTTAGATCTTCCAAGTTGGTCACACTTAATCTGTTTAGCAAAAAATAGGCCAAGCTCAGTAGGGATGTCCGGCCGCCCGAGCCCCTGCCCCAGCACCGGGTGGACCGACCTGGGGATCACATCCTTTCCCAGCACAAGGGACACGACGAAGTCCTTGGAGTGCTCACAAAGTGACCTGCTGAAATTTCAAGCAAGAGAGGCCAAGTCAGTCTCCAGGGGATTGAGCAGCCCTGCAAGATCTGCACGGCGTTGCTATTGCTGAGCCCTATCCTTTACAGGGAGAAAAATGACAGAGATCATCCAGAGCAATTCATTAGCCACATTCCAAGACACTCAGCAAACACCACAGCTAAATACCAGCTGGACCCAGACACAGAGCAGGCACGCACAGTCACCCTCTGGCCCAGCAGCCCCACCCACCAAAATGTCCCCAGGATGCGACAACTCGCAAAGGCCACGTGTGGCAGGCCTGCATGTGTGACAAGCAGGGGCTAGACACACTGCAGTGTCTGTCCATAGGGCAGGGGGATAAACAGTCTCTGCACCTAGGTGTGTACCACTGCAGGCAACAGCAGCAACAAGCACAAGTGTAATACGAACACACACACACACACACACACACACACACACACACGGAAACAATACAAAGGAATTAAAAGACTGGGGATATAACTCAGTGGCATAAACCCCTCTGTGGGAAGTGCAAAGTCCTGAGTTTGATCCCTGCTACCACACACACAAATAAATAAATAAATATCACTGAAAATAGCAATTTCCAGGGTGAATTTTTTTTTTTTTTTTTTTTTTTTTTTTTTGGAGACAGGAACTAAACCCAGGGCCTGCACATGATAAGCAAGTACTGTACCACTGAGCTACATCTATATCCCTTTTTTATCTTGTTTTAGAGACAGGGTTTCATTAAATTGTCCAGACTGACCCTGAACTTGTGACCTTCCTGCTTCGGCCTCCTGAATGCCTGGGTTATACATTCCAGTTTTATATTTTCTAATTTTTCTTTCTTTCTTTCTTTCTTTATTTTATTTATTTGAGAGAGAGAGAGAGAGAGAGAGAGAGAGAGAGTGGTGTGTGTGTGGCCAGCTCAGCCCACCAGGGGGCGGGGCTGGCTGGCATGTGGGTGCTGGGGGATTGAACCGCGGTCCCTGATGCTTTGCCAAGCTTGTTCCAAGTAGGTGCCTTAGACCACTGAGCCATCTCTCCAGCCCTATATTTTCTAATTTTTCTATGCTGAGTTTATCTCCTTTCCTTTTCTCTTTTTCTTAAAAGATAGTGGCCTGCCATATAGTTCAGGCTAATCTTAAACTCATTATGTAGCTCAGGCTGGTCTCAAACTTGTAGTGATCGTCCTGCCTCAAGCCTAACAGTCTGCTGGGATTATAGTTTGTGCTACCTTGTCCTCTCCCTCTTGTTTTTTGATTTTTAATTTATTCCATTCTTTTTTTACTGTGGCACAATTTTTTTTTTTATTAAAAACATCATATAGAACAGTACACTGAATCAGAAGCATACATACTTTCCAAACTCATAAAAATGCCATTACACATTCGTCCAGAGTCACCAAGAGTGAACCCTGGGTAAGCTGTGACTATTGGTGATAGTCACATGTCAGTGCAGGTGCAATTCTGATGGTGGTGGTCACAGTGGGTATGTAGGACAAAAAATACATGGGAATTGTCTCTTCTCCTGAAATCTGCTCTGAACCTAAAAATAAAATTTATTTTAAAAATATGAATCTTAGCTGGGTGTGGTAGCATATATCTGTAATCTCTGCACTGTGGGAGGCTGAGGCAAGAGGATTCCACCTTTGAGTCATATTGGGAAAGAAATGGATGGCTGGAGATGTAGCTTAGTATGAAGGCTCTATCCTTTTTTTTTGAAGACTCTATCCTTAGTACTGCAAAACACACAAAAACCTAGAAATTATATCATGTAGGAAATTAGAGCTATAGTCGGAGCAATTTTTTTTTATTTTTTATTTATTTATTTATTTATTTTAATTTTTATTTATTTATGTGTGTGTGTGTGTGTGTGTGTGTGTGTGTGTGTGGCCAGCTCAGCCCACCAGGGGGCGGGGCTGGCTGGCATGTGGTGCTGGGAGATTGAACCGCAGTCCCTGAGCTTTGCTAAGCTTGTTCTAAGTAGGTGCTTTAGACCACTGAGCCATCTCACCAGCCCCCTTTTTTTTAAAATATAGAGTCTTGCCACACAGTTCAAACTCACAGTGATCCTCCTGTCTCAGCCTCCCCAGTGCTGGGATTACAGGTATGCACCACCACGTCCGGTTCCAGGGCTGGCACAGCATGAGATACCAGGCATCAAACTTGGGACCTTGCACTTGCCAGGCCAGCATGTATGCCGCCACTGAGTTATCTCCCCAGCCCGAGCCAGAGCAATTTAAAGAAGGCTATAGTCTTTCGTCAACTAAACAGTGTTTCAAAATTCAGACTTCTGAGATCGAGCTATCATAATTAAATTATAAATAAAAGATGAATGGGCTACATGGCTTGTAAGCAGTCCCTGGTTCCACACCAGAACATAAGGCATTACCTCAGGAGCCCCCGGGGCGGGGAGAAGGCGTAGGCTCGGACCTGTGGGTAGGAGCTCCGCAGCATGATGGCCAGCAGGGCAGCTGCCCCTGCTCCCAGGCTGTGCCCCACCACGACCAGCCGGTACTCCTGGGGGACAGAACAGATTGGGCTCCAGGCTAACAATAACGATGGCCAGTGACAGGGCAAGGGAATAAAAATGAAAGGTAATCTCACAGGAGCAATGCTGAATGCCTGGCTCAAGATCCCATCATTGACCAGCCGTCGGTAAATGTATCTTGCAGCTTGAGAAATTCCCTAAAACACAGCCAGACAGGGGCTCAGTGGGGCTTCATGCTCAGGGCAGCCGCACATCTGCTTCTGTGGGACTCTAACCATCTCCCAGACAGGGCCCCACCTGAGTCAGTGGCCCTGCGGTGCGCACTGCATTCCTGGCCCCTAGCCAGACACTGGCATGAGGGAGGTGCTCACAACATTTGTGAGAGCAGATGACACCAAGGACATCCCACCCCATCAGCAGAAGGCATTTTTCTGCATGGACACGTGCACGATGGGGGGTTGCTCAGACTCAGAGCACAAAAGACTGATCTTTCTAAACACTCTGAGAGCTTGCAGTCCTTTAACTCAAAGACACTGCCTAGCTTCTGACCATGGATCCCACAAGAGCACAGTGAGTGAATTTTAGGGAGGCCAGGTTTTGGTCTGATATCAAAAAATAAAATTTAAAGTTTCTATTAAATGAATAGAACTGTCCTAAGTAATGGGAAAACCAACAGAGGAAAGTCAACCCTGTAATCAGAATTTCTTCCAGAACACCTCCTCATGACAGTTCTACCAGGTCCCAGGCCTGGCCCCTTCCTCTTTTGGCTAATATTCTAAGAGAGGAGGTAGAAAGGATTTAGTATAACACCAGAGACTGTTCTTAATTATCTCTGAAACAATGCAGCTGGACACCGTGGTGCATGCTGGTAATCCCAGCTACTCAAGAGGCTGAGGCATGAAGATCCCAAGTTTCAAGGCCACCTGGTGCACCTTAGCAAGACCCTGTCTGGAAAGACAAAATTTAAAAAGGGATGGGCATGTGGCTTAGTGGCAGAGTGCCCCTGGGTTCAATACCCAGTACTACAAAAACAAGCAAAAATTCCTAACACTTGGTAATTTGATAATTCTGCAGCAGAATATTGAACCCGGCAACATGAAACAAAACGCCAAAGGAGAGGCTGGCATTCTGTGTCCATCTGCATGGTATTCTTTTTTGGAACTGGGAATTGAACTGAGGACCTCGTTCTTTGCCAAGCAGGCACTGTGCCACTGAGCTACGTCCCTGGCCCCAGCACTTCCTGACAAACACCAAACTTCTTTTGCTGGCCTGCAACTGCAAAGTCACACTTATTAGGGTCTCCTTATGTGCCTAGTGCTGCGCACTCAGAGCCAGACAGAACCTGCGCTGCCACTGAAAGCCACCGCAGCAAGCACACATATACACACTCACTGGGGAGTGCCGAGGGGGCGCCCAGCTACACAGACAGCATCGGGGCAAAGAGCTGAGAACGGGCCTTAAGCAGCTGCCTTCCTGGCCCAAGGGACAAGGGGTCACTGAGAGCACTGCAATCAGCGTGAGGGAGGCTTGGCTCATGGCCACAGAAAGCCCTTTCCTTAGCACACTGGTTGGAAAATGGCTATGATACAGCTCAAAGTTTCCTTCAACTCTCCGGGTCTTCTGTGAACTGGACAGAAAGCTAAAGTTTTTTTAAAAAAAATTTCTGCTGGGGGAGCTCAGAGGTGGGGTATCACTCCTAGAGGATCCCCGACATGGGGCCAGAGGCATCATTCCTACCACCATCGAGCTTCTAATCGATGGCAGAACCGAGGCCCACCCCGATTCAGTTACCGCCAGGGAGGCTTCTGCTGTAGCACTTTTTAAAATATAAAAGTAAACATTTTGGGGCCAGTGTAGGGGAATATGCATGTTATCCAACTACTCTGGAAGAACCCAAGTTTGAACTCAGCCTGGGCAATTTAATAAGACCCTGTCCTAAATTAAAAATAAAGAGGTGTAGCTCAGAAGTAGAGAGCCTGCCTGCCTAACATGCTTCAGAGTCTGGGTTCAACTTCTAGCACTCAAAAAAAAAAAAAAAAAAAGACTATTACAGAAGTAGTGCTTCTTTTGGTCAAAAAAATACATGAGGCATACAGAGCCCAAGGTAAGCCACAGCCTCCCTTCCAAGAGCCTAAGGCCTCTTCCCAAGGGCAGCCATGGGGCTCTCTGGGAGTCAATCACTTCAGACTCCCTAAATGTTCAGTATCTGCACAGCAACATCCTGGTCATGAGCAAAATGTAGGTCAAAACCACAACAAGGCACCCCAGGAATGGTCAGGACAATGGAGGACACCAAGTATTAAAGGAATCAAGGAAACGAGTGCTCTGAGCTGCTGATGGGTATGTGGATGCTGGGCAGTGGTGCAGCCACTGTGGAAAGCAGTCGGTAGTTCCTCAGTGCTGAACATAGAACTGCTGTGTGAGCCAGCAACTCCACTCCAGGGTCCACAACCCACGAAGTGAAAGGAGAAACTGGAATAGACATCTGCCCACCCACCCGAACTCATAGTGGCCTAGAGCAACGCCAGAGATGACACGACCCGAGTGAGTAGTGTGAGACGAGCAGCAGAAGAAGTGAAGCCACCCAGCACCACGCTGCTCACCCTTCAGCAGGAAGGGAACTGACACAACATGGCTAAACCCACGCTAGTCACAGAACAGCCACATTGCTTCTATGAGGTCCCCAGAACAGACAAATCCTCAGGCATGATGGACGCTGGAGGCACCCGGGCCTGCAGAGGGGCAGATGGTGTTTATTAGGCATAGAGTTTATGTTGGTGATGCTAACACTGCTGGTGGTAGATGGAGGTGATGGGCACACTGCACTTGATACCACTTAGTTACTACAGTTAAAATATTATGTGTATCACCATCTTAATAAACTTTTAAACACACACACACACACACACACACACACACACACACACACACACCCTGGCTGTGCTAGGGTAGAATTCATCCCCAGGTCCAGTTAAGAGTGACTCTGGAACCTGGGCCAAGAGCCAGGCAAAGAGCAGACAGCACAAGGGGCCCTGCCTCTGTGCTAGGGCTGCCACTGTATTGCTCTGTACTACACGGAAGCTTTTCTTTGTGGGTACTGGCACTGAGCCCTGGACCTTCACACTAAGCCACATGCCCAGCCCTTTATACCTTCTGAGACTGGGTCTTGGTAGGTCAATAAATTTCTCAGAGTGGGCTTGAACTTTTGATCTTCCTGTCTCAGCCTCCCAGAATGCTGGGATTACATGTGTGGCAATATGCCTAAACTTTATACTAAAGTTTATTTTCACCATGATAAGGTACATTAGTGAAGAGGGAAGAAACACCACAGCCTGGATCTAACACCCAGTGAGTTACTTCATCACCAGGAAGCTTCAAGTGGACCTCAAACTCACTTTCCCCCTAGAACTGGAGTGAGAATCCACTCAGGGAGGACAACCACGCCCACTGTACCCAGCCCTGGAAGAGCCCATTGCCCAGAGTACCTTGTGCGCCACACAGTCCTGCAGGTCTATGTCCAGGTGGAGGCTATCACTCTCAGCAGACAGGTCAGTGAGGATGTCCTACAGAGGGTGTGGGCAGGGGGGGTGAGTTGGGGCCTCATGGTACCCTGCTCCTGGGCCTGCTCTGTGGGCAGTGGGAATACTTGATGACCCTGCAGTACCTGACAAGAAATGAGGCCAGGCGGGGAGCTCCCAGGGGCTGTGAAGAAGATAGTAAGAGCTTAGGGCTGAGCAGGCATGTGGCAGGGTTGTCTGTGACACAGCTCTGCTTCCTGACTGTGGAGGAACTCTATGGGGTATCCTCAGAGCCCAGGGCCATGGGCAGAGAAGACCTGTGGGACAAGGTCAGACGGGGCTCAGCCTCCTGAGGGAGGCACTGTGCATAACCTGAAGGGCTGACTGAGGAGGCCCCTGGCGGGTGGTGGGCTCCATACTCACACTCTTTAGAAACCTGGGGGTGAGTATGTAGGGCACTATATGCAGAGTAGGACCAGGAAGGGAAATGGTCAGGTGATAAAGTGCCTACAAGACTGCAATGAGAAAGACTTCAGCCAGATCTGGTATTATAAGCCTGTGATCCCAGATATTTGGAGGCTAAGACAGGAGGATTGCAAGGTTGGGCAACTTTGCTAGACCCTGTCTCAAAATAAAAAATGAAAAAAACAGCTCACTGAAAAGATGCCAGGTTCAAACTCTAGTATCACCAAAAAAGGAAGGGGAAAAAAAAAAAAAAAAAAAAAAGTGAAAAGCACTACAGGGTTTGAGATGGGAAGAGCTGACCCCTGTTCCAGTTAAGGAACAGCCAGGGAGGTTGAGAGCCTAGCGTAGGAAGAGGTCTGGGCAGTATCAAGCCATGGTGCTGGGCTCGAAGATATAGCCAGAGAGCCGGGTACCTGGAGCCTCTGTGTTATGGGCTGGGCTGTTGAGTGAACATAAAGCAAGGACTGTGTCATGGTCTCTTTAGCAGGCACCTGGGGATGCTGGCGAGTGAGCACAAGCAGGAAGCCTCAGGGAGGGAAGCCTGGATGGCCCTGGAAAATGCAGGTACTGGATTGTGAGGTTGAGGCCACACCAGAACCTGTCCAAAGCAGAAGGCCTAAGACACAAAAGACAGGGGCCCACGACATGTTTCAGGTCATCAGAGAAATACAAGGAAGTGAAAGGGAGGAGCAGCCAGGAAGGACCCAGCACAGCCAGAGAGGTCAGTGTTGTCTGGGGTCTGTGAGAGGCTGAGAAGTCAGAAATGGGGAAGCTTGTGTGTGTGTGTGGGGGGGGGATCACTGGCTATGGATAAGACAAAGGGGTCCACTGTTCCTTGGGGACTAGCAGAAGGCTGGGGCTGGTTAGGACCTGGTACAGGAACTCAGTAAGTGGCACATGACTTTCTACAGCCAGACTGACTGCTTTGCTCCACTGGGCTCTGGGGAGGGTCTCCTGGTCTAGGGAAGTTGGCAGGAGGGGAGCTGGGCATCTGGCTGGGAGGTGCAACCTGCCAGCCTCTGGGCCCCTGAAACTGCCAGTGAAAAGGGAAGATTCCCCCACCCCCTATTTTGTAGAGGGGACACTTCCCCACCCTGGACTCACTTCCGCCTTCCTACCCACAGTCCTATGTTGCTGGCTAAGAACATCTGCTCTCCACCCAGTGGCCTGCTCATCCCTGCTCCCTGCTCCCACCCCAGTTCCTGTGTTACCTGCAGAGACATGGTGCCTCTCACAGCAACCACGACAGCCTCCTTCCTGTGATCCAGAGCCACTAAGAAGGGCAGCTCGTATACCTGAAGGGCAGGAAGCACAAGGCCTCAGGACAAGAGACACCCCTAAATCCACTAGTGATACAAGCGCAGGCCACTTGGTGCCACAACAGCTGGTTACTCCTGAGAAACTCTGAGGCCCGTGACCTGGAGATGTGGCTATCACTCTTTGACCTCCTGCTCTTCATCCCCACCAGCCAAGGCAAGAACTTGACACTATACACAAAAATCTTCCATATAACATTGTGAGCTGGGTATGGTGGTGCAGCCTGTAACTCTAGCACTCAAGAGGCAGAGGCAGGAGAATCATAGCCTGAGCAACTTAGGGAAACCCTATCTTAAAATAAAAAATTAAGGGCCAGCAAGATAGCTCAGCAGACTAAGCGCCTGCTTAGGCAAGCACAGAGACTGGGGTTTGATCCCTGACACCACATCCCCCTCCTCCCCTGGATGTGCTGAGCCAGCAGCCAAGACCGGGCATGGTGGCACATGCCTGTATCCCAGCACTAGGGAGACTGAAAACAGGAGGATCACTATAAGTCTGATTTGTATAGTGAGACCCTGTACCAAACACACTAAAAAAAAAAAAAATTAATGAATGATAAAAAATTGGAAAGGCGGGGGGGGGGGGGGCTTGCCCGATAGCTCAGTTGTTTAAAGCGCCATTTGGGCAAATGCAGTCAGGCTCAGGGGACTGCAGTTAGATCCCAAGCCCCAAAAGTCACACCACACCTTCCTGTAAGACAGCCAGAAATTGGAAAAAAAAAAAAAAAATCCAAAAAAAAACCTTCTCCAAAAATTAAAAAGGGCTGGAGCTGACTACCAAACAAATGAAAAACCACGCTACTGAACATGAAACGTTCTGTCACATCTTCCAACCTCTTTGGCCTCCCTAAGTCAAGTCTTGCACCCCACAGCACAGCATATAATCTCACTACCTCTGCAGCGGACCCAGCACCAACAGTTCAGTGGACACACGCAATCCTGCTGACCAGTTCCTCTGGGAGGCCAGTACGACAGGTGCCGTTTGCCAGGCTCATGGGCTTTGTCACCTACAGGTGTTGGAGCAGGCCTATGTCAGCAGCCTCCCACAGCAATCAACACAAGATCAGCATCCTTTGCTTTATGGGACTCTGAGCAGGAGCAAAAGGCTTTGGTTCTGGTAAGTGCACTTTGATTTAGAAGCAAGCTAAGTTAAAATCACAATTTCAGGCTCCAGCCTTGAGAACCAGGGCCCTGAGAAACGTGGAGAGGGTTAAGGTCTGGCAGAAACTCAGCTCTGTGTGCTCATGCAAGTGTCTTCAATTCTGTCTCCATCTTTTTTTATTTTACTTTATTTTTTGCAGTACTAGTAATTAAAGCCAGGGCCTGCGCATGCAGTTATATGCCCAGCCCTTCTTTTATTTTGAGACAGAGTCTCATTAAGTCACTAAGTTGGACAAGCTGGGCTCAAACTTGTTGTATTCTGCCTCATCTTACCAGAGTGCTGAGATTACAGACATGCACCTCCTCACTCGCTAGCAGGTTTTTGTTTTTTCGTTTTTGGTCGTACTGGAGCCTGAACCTAGGAATTTACCCTGAGTTGCACCTCTAGCCCTTTTTGAGATAGGGCCTTACTAAGTGACTTTAAGTTGCCCAGGCTAGGATGGAGTGTGCATCCTCAAGCTTCAACATCCCAGCATGCTGGGATTACAGATATGTGTCACCATGGCCGGCTATAGAAGGGGGCTTTTAAAACTCTGAGTGAGGATCCCACCTTCTAAGAACTATGGCAGAAAGCATTCAGGGGTAGCCTTCAGGTATTTTATAAGCTCCCCAGGTGATCCCATTGGGCAGCAGAAGCTGGGACCCATTTTTCCAACCCGCTGACTCTTGGATCTTGGGTCTGAGAATGGCCTACAGAGCTGCTGCCCAGCACTAGGCATAAGCTGTGGAAGCTGAGACTCAGGGCAGGCTCCTGTGGCTTTGTCATGTTCCCAGGAGGTGTAGTTCTTCTAGAGTATGAGATTCATGCAATATGCTACTGTTAACAGAGCCCAAGATCCAAAAGAGAAGCCTGTATAGGGATGATTCTGCCCAGTTCACTGCCCCTCTGCAAAGATGGACTGCATAAGCAGCAGTGTGGTGTCCCTGAGAAAACCTTGTTGCTCCATCTTCTGTGAAACCTGTTAGTTTTTGTGGTTGCTGTTTTGGTTTTGTGAGATTATGAGATAGGGTCTTACTTATGCAGCCCAAGCTGGTCTCAAAAATGTAATCTTCTTGCCTCAGCTTCCCGAATGCTGAAATTTGAGGTGCATGCTCCCATGCATGGCTCAAAACCTGAGTTTTTAACTGGATCCATGGGCCTATATGGGTTTCAAGCGGGGGTCTGTAAACTACCAGAAATCATGCCTAAGATTTGGGTGTAAAGATGTGTCTGAATTATATGAAGAATAAGAATCACTAAGAATCACAATGGACCCCAGGGCCCAAGATTAATTAAGAGATGGGGGCTAGGGATTTAGTTTAGTGGTGCAATACCTGGCAAGCATGAGATCCTGAATTTGATTCTCAGTACCAAAAAAACAAAAAACCTGATACTATACCTTGTCATGAAAGCTTATGTGAATGAAGTCCCTGTACTGCAGGCCTGTTGTATGCAGGATGGAGCCAAAATGGCAGTTGAGCTGATCACCTCCCACCAACTCGTATTCTGTTGTCCGGCTTCTGCAACTGCAAAAGAGGGGAAAGCGTCAGCATGCGTCCCTTACCAAAGTCTGCTTCTCCATGTTTCCCAGACAACCCTGTCAAGTACCAGGAAGGCCTGGCTAACACAGAAGGCGATCGATTCTCTGTGTAGAAGCTCTTTTTTTCCTCTCCTGTGTAGAGCTCTTACGATGGTTTTTGACTTCTAGCATTGTGTCAGTGCTTTACATATTCAAAAATAAATTAAATCAACAAGGAGAGAGAGAACTACAAACAAATGCTTACTGAAGCAGGTCAACCAAATTCTTTCAAATTAGTGACAATATTCTGAAGAAACTATATAAAGTAATCTGCAGATACAGGACTCCTAAGTTTAAAAACAAAAACAACTTCAAACATTATAAACTATACTCCAGGCATATCTTTTTGGCAGCAGTGCTAGATATGACCATCTTCAAACTCGTTTGGGAGGACTGGGGCCTGTGCATGAGTACCTCACTGCTGATGACTTGGGTGCCAGTTTTTTCTGAAGGAGAAAATGTCATAAACAGGATATGGGAGAAGGCAAGGGACTGTTGTGCTTTTGAACAAGAATCAAAAGGCATCAATATAAATCATTTCTTATTTGGTAGTGCTAGGGACCTAACCCAGGGCCTTAGATATACTAGGTAAGTATTCTGTTGTCAAGCTACATCTATAGCTCTTTAACTCATGGCTTTTATTTTTGTTTTGATTTTTTGAGACAAGGTCTTATTATGCAGTTCAGGCTTTTGAACGCATCATGTAGCCCTAGCTGGCTTCACATGAGTAGTGATCTTCCTGCCTCACCTCCTGAGTTCTGAGGTTACAGAGGTACACCACCATGCCTGGCTTTTTTTTTTTTTTAATTTTATTTATATGTGTGTGTGTGTGTGTGTGTGTGTGTGTGTGTGTGTATGGCCAGCTCAGCCCACCAGGGAGCAGGGCT